TTGGAAAAGTTGACACAAACATTACAAGTTGGAAGGCCCTCCAATCTATGATACTGACACCTAGGATCAGAGGCGGCCCTAGGTAATTTTCAACAGTAAGCAAACAGTATTTTTCCCCCCCCCCCCCCCCCGAACCAATCATTGATATATATTTTCTGTTCGTCGTGGGAGTTCTGTGTGCCATATTTGGTTCAATTCCATCATTGGTGGAGTTCAGAATGCTCTTTGATTGTAGGTGAACTATACATCCCAGTAACTACACTTGCCGCACTTGCTCCCTTGCCTGTCCGGAGGCGTGCCTGAAGACCCCGGCGTGTGCACCAAAAGTCACCTCTTCTCCTGACTTTCTCCTCAGCCATTGGGACCGAGAGAGAGAGAGAGAGAGACAGAGGTGGAGATGCCCACCTTTCCTGAAGGTAGGCGCAAAAACAAAGGAGGGAGCGGAGGTGGGAGATACCTCCAGCTGGAGGGGCTCTCTCTCTCTCTCTCAGTCCCAATGGCTGAAGAGAAAGTCAGGAGAAGAGGCGACTTTTGGTGCGCACGCTGGGGTCTTCAGACATGCCTCCGGACCCAAAGCGGGCCAGGCGCGGCGGCTCCGCCCCTTGGCCCACCCGCAGATTGGGGAGAGGAGAGGAGGTGGGTGGAGCGCCAGGGGATCGGGAAAGGGAGCCAGTCATGGGGAAGGTATCGAACACGGAGAACGATTGAGTGCCGGCTCTGCTCGCGCACCCGGTGGCCGGGTGGAGCAGGAACGAGAGGGGCTAGGCGAGGCTCAAGGGCCCGGCCCCTTTGGGAAGAGGATCGCCCGGCAGCGAGGCAAGAAAGCCGAGGCTCCCCCCGGACTGCTAGGGCTGTTGTGAGCTGAGGGGGCGCTCCTCAAGTGGCAGTCGAGGGGCATTTACAGAGGCGCCTCTGCGCCCCTGGCAAAAAAAAAGTGTTCTGCGACCGCTTACTTCGCATAAGGGACGAGCCGCCCCTGCCTAGGATCCTACAGCTGGAAGGGTCCCTCAAAGTCCAGCCACTAGCCATGGGTGATGTGGTTTGCTTTCCAAAAGCATCAGGGACCATTCATATTCCATAATTCCTATTCTTCACTGAAAGAAAGAAGGGATTGCCCATTATCTCTCATCTGCATTGACAGATGAGAGAGATGAGCGAAAACTAACCACAATGAAGTTCAACGGGGACAAATGCAAGAGACTGCACTTAGGCAGTCTCTTGCATTTAGATACAGGACGAGGGACAAGGCCTGGCTCGAGAGCAGTACGTGTGAAAAAGATCTTGGAGTCCTCGTGGACAACAACTTAAACATGAGCCAACAATGTGATGTGGCGGCAAAAAAAGCCAATGGGATTTTGGCCTGCATCAAGAGGAGCATAGTGTCTAGATCTAGGGAAGTCATGCTCCCCATGCTCTATTCCGCCTTGGTTAGACCACACCTGGAATATTGTGTCCAATTCTGGGCACCACAATTGAAGGGAGATATTGACAAGCTGGAATGTGTCCAGAGGAGGGCGACTAAAATGATCAAGGGTCTGGAGAACAAGCCCTATGAGGAGCGGCTTAAGGAGCTGGGCATGTTTAGCCTGAAGAAGAGAAGGCTGAGAGGAGATATGATAGCCATGTATACATATGTGAGAGGAAGCCACAGAGAGGAGGGAGCAAGCTTGTTTTCGGCTGCCCTGAAGACTAGGACACAATGGGACAATGGCTTCAAACTACAGGAAAGGAGATTCCATCTGAATATTAGGAAGAACTTCTTGACTGTGAGAGCCGTTCAGCAGTGGAACTCTCTGCTTCAGAGTGTGGTGGAGGCTCCTTCTTTGGAAGCTTTTAAGCAGAGGCTGGACGGCCATCTGTCAGGGGTGCTTTGAATGCAATATTCCTGCTTCTTGGCAGAATGGGGTTGGACTGGATGGCCCATGAGGTCTCTTCCAACTCTGATTCTAAGTATAGGGTTCCTGTATAGCAATGTTTCTCAACCTTCTTAATGCCGCAGACCCCTTAATATGGTTCCTCCTGTTGTGGTGACCCCCAAGCATAAAATTCCTTTCGTTGCATCTTCATAACTGTAATTTTGCTACTGTTATGAATCGTCGTGTAAATATCGGATATGCAGGATGTATTTTCATTCACTGGACCAAATTACACCCAAATTTCAGGGTGACCCATCTTCTCATGAAGGTCTTATCTCATGGAGATCTGGGGCCCAAGGAGCAGTCTGGGGACCCATTAAGTCAAGCTGCTCTTGGGGGGAGAAAGAAGGGCTTTTTGGGGTTCCCATGGGTCCTTTGCAGGCAAAGGACTTGGGGGACCCCTAACACCCTAAGGAGAGAGGCACAAGGGCATGAAATCTTGATTAAATGTCTAACATGGGAAGGGTCCTAGTTGTGGTCGTTAGTCCTTCTGCAGATTAGCCAAAACTTAACTCTTATTATATCATTCCAGCCTTGTGTCCTTGGCAAAACTATGAATTCCCTGATTATGAACTATCTTTTATGGGGGCGGGTCACCTTCTACAGGGCGGGAGTTGATTTTGTCACTTGGGAGTTGTAGTTGCTGGGATTTATAATTAACCTACATCACCTACAATCAAAGAGCATTCTGAACTCCACCAACGATGGAATTCAACCAAACTTGGCACACAGAACTCCCATGACTAACAGAAAATACTGGAAGGGTTTGGTGGGCATTGACCTTGAATTTTGGAGTTGTAGTCCACCTACATCCAGAGAGCACTGTGGACTCAAACAATGATGGATCTGGACACAACTGGGCACAAACACTCAATATGCCCAAATGGGAACACTGGTGGAGTTTGGGGGAAATTGACCTTGACATTTGGAAGTTGTAGTTGCTGGGATTTATAGTTCAGTTACAATCAAAGAGCATTCTGAACTCCACAAACGATGAAATTCAATCAAACTTGGACCTCAGAACTCCCGTGACCAACAGAAAATACTGGAAGGGTTTGCTGGGCATGGAGTTTTGGAGTTGTAGTTCACCTACATTCAAAGAGTTCCCCTACATTCAGAGAGTTGTAGTTCACCTACATTCAGAGAGCACTGTGGACTCAAATAATGATGGATCTGGACCAAATTTGGCAAAGATACACAATATGCCCAGATGTGAGCACTGTTGGAGTTTGGGGTAAATAGACCTTGACATTTGGGAGTTGTAGTTGCTGGGATTTTTAGTTCACCTACAAACAAAGAGCATTCTGAATTCCAGAAATGAGGGAACTGAACCAAACTTGGCACTCAGAGCTCCCATGATCAACAGAAAATACTGGAAGGGTTTGGTGGGCATTGGCCTTGAGTTTTGGAGTTGTAGTTCACCTACATTCAGAGAGAACTGTGGACTCAAACAATGGTGGATCTAGACCAAACTTGGCACGAATACTCAACACGTCCAAATGTGGGCACTGGTGGAGTTTGGGGAAAACAGACCATGAGATTTGGGAGTTGTAGTTGCTGGGATTTATATTTCACCTACAATCAAAGAGCATTCTGAACTCCAGCAATGAGGGAATTGAACCAAACTTGGCACTCAGAACTCCCATGACCAACAGAAAATACTGGAAGGGTTTGGTGGGCATGGAGTTTTGGAGCTGTAGTTCACCTACATTCAGAGAGTTCACCTACATTCAGGGAGTTTTAGTTTACCTACATTCAGAGAGCGCTGTGGACTTAAATAATGATGGATCTGGACCAAATTTGGCAAAGATACACAATATGCCCAGATTTGAGTACTGGTGGAGTTTGGGGAAAATTGACCTTGACATTTGGGAGTTGTAGTTGCTGGGATTTATAGTCCACCTACAATGAAAGAGCATTCTGAACTCCACCAACGATGGACTTGAACCACTCTTGGCACACAGAACTCCCATGACCACGAGAAAATCCTAGAAGGATTTGCTGGGCACTGGCCTTGAGTTTTGGAGTTGTAGTCCACCTACATCAAAGAGCATTGCAAACTCAAACTTGTTAAAGATTTGTAGCTTGCTACTGAAGTTAGAGAACCACAGAGGCCAAGTAATGAAGGAGTGTGTTCTTTTCCTTCACTAAGTGAATTCAGTCCACTCTGACCAAACTGGACCAAACTTGGCACAAATACTCAATATGCCCAAATGTGAACATTGGTGGAGTTGGGGGAAAATAGACCTTGATATTTGGGAGTTGTAGTTGCTGAGATTTATAGTTCACCTACAATCAAAGAGAATTCTGAATTCCACCGACGATATAATTGGGCCAAACTTCCCATGCAGAACACCCATGTCTTGAAGGGACTCGCTGGTGCAAGCCTCCCTCCAGCCTTGCATGCTCTCTCTCGTCTGCACATGCGCACCACTCTGCCATGTGCCGAGCACGCCTGCTCTCCCCTCCCTGCTTGGGAGTCTCAGAAACAGCCCTCCCTTTGGCTGAGAGGCCAGCCAATCACAACAGAGGAGGGCTTTTAGTGGGAGGATTCACCTTCCGTTTCCAAAAAGGAAGAGAAGGACAGGTGGAAAGATCTTCAGCCTTCTCTGCTAAAGGGATTCCTAAGACCATTAGAAATATGTCTTTGGTGACCCCTCTGAAACCCCCCTTGTGAGGTCCCAGGGGTCCCAACCTCCAGATTGAGAAACACTGCTGGTTAGGGAGGAATCTCAGGGCAAGACAGTAGCCTTGAATGTGTGCAATTATATTATTATACAAGACTTATTTTCTTCTTGGGGGGAGGCTTTCTGTGCAACAACAAATTAATGCATCATGCTGAAAGTCCTAATCATTGCACTGGTTTGAATTGTATTGTGCCAGATTGGCTGCGAGCCTTTTATCAGGGCGAAATAAATATAAATAAAAATAAATATCCATGGTTCTTGTGGGTTTTTTCGGGCTATATGGCCATGTTCTAGAGGCATTTCTCCTGACGTTTCGCCTGCATCTATGGCAAGCATCCTCAAAGGTGATGCTTGCCATAGATGCAGGCGAAACATCAGGAGAAATGCCTCTAGGACATGGCCATATAGCCCGAAAAAACCCACAAGAACCTAGTGATTCCAGCCATGAAAGCCTTCGACAATACATTAAATATGCATGGTTCTGCTTTTCCATGGCAAGTTCAGGAATATCCCTGCCTGCATTTGGAAAATACCTTCAAGTGAACTCAGAGGCTGCAACATATTTTTATTGACTTACGCAAGACTTCCTCGACCTGCTTGTTTCATTTCTGCACATTGTTCGTTTGGAATAACAAAAAGCTTGGCTGAAATATGTTGACCTGCTTTTTTCCCCTTTCCTTTTCTTTAAATTGAGCTGTAGGACTATATATTTTCCGTATTATGCCAAGGAAGAAGTAGTAATGCCCAAAGACGCATTTGCTCAAGAACGACGGCACATCTTGATGTGTCTCAACCTCATCCAAAAAGTTTAAACTGCTGCATTAAAAACAGAAAAGAAAACCTTCCTGCACCAGAACATGCATTGTCTATATTATACATATATATATAAAAAACATCAACACATTATTTCCTTCCAGCCTGCAGATGGGACAAGTGAAATCACAAGTTTGGCTCAGCAAAAGCAAGAGAGGGAGGAAAGGAATCTGTCCGATGGAGAGCGTTGCGTATCAACGGGTCTCGACCTTTCGTTCTCCAGATGTTTTGGACTTCTGCCTCCAGAGTCTCCCCACAAGGCCTGGGCAAACTTGAGCCCTCCAGGTGTTTTGGCTTGCAGCCAACAGCCTCTGGCTCTTTCCTGTGTGTGGAGAGAATTGTAGACAGCCGAGGCTGAGGCAAAGGATGTTTTGAATTGTGATAATTGTTCTCAGAAAACAGGGGAAAGTGAAGGTCCTTGGATTGATGGGGAGTCTTCCCAGGAAACTAAATTAGCCATGAGAACAGAGGGCTAAGACATAGACTAAATATTCTCACAAAGCTATGGGAAGATCTTGAAGTCCAGGTGTGTTTGGTATGATGTCATGAGTAAGACATAGACTATTCTCACAAAGCTATGGGAAGATCTTGAAGTCCAGGTGTGTTTGGCATGATGTCATGGGTGCCTGGAAAGGGTCTGAGGCTGTTAGGAATTGTGGGAGCTGCAGTCCAAAATATCTGGAGGGCCCAAGTTTGCCCATGCCTACTGGAAGAAGCCCAAAAGAGCTGGAGAACCAAAGGATGAGATCCACCAACTACATGATCACACAGATACACATATACAAACATCTCCAGCAGAGGCAAAAATATGGAGGAGAAGGGAGAAAAGTGATGGCAGACTCCAGGTTTTGCTGGTGGTTGTACCTTTTGTACATTTGCGTAAGGAGGTATCCATCCAACGCCTCCTTGTGCAAAGGAGTTCCCCTTCATTGCACAATCATTAATGTATCCACCTTACAACCCGGAATTAACCATCGCCGTAGTAGCCCTTCTTCTTCCAAGCCTTTTGCGTAAACGCGTTGACGGAGTTAATCACAATGGAGAGTGAATTGCAGCCTCCAAGTCTTCATCCAAAACACACACTCCGCAGTCTCTTACACACACACATTCATTCATCTTGAAATAATGGTATCTGCGCTTTTGGGACCAGCCCGCAGCTGAGAAATGCACCGCAGGAGCACGACGACAAAAAAAGTTGGCTTTTTTGCCAACCATTCCCTTCACGGAAAGGAAGGAGGAGGCCAAATCTTTGTGGCCCTTCCCCAAAATTGTCCAGCGTCCCCTTCTCAGCATAGTCTTCCCTTTGCGATTACCATCCATATTGTGTCTCCAAAAATCTCCAAATAAAGAAAATACCAGGACAACTTCTCCTTTGGTGCTCCGTGTCCTCTTCCTTGGAGGAAGGACATGGGGGAGTTTGGATATCCCACTGGTTTAAGTTTTCACCCAAGCAAAGGTGGAGCTAAAGGATCTGGAGTTTCCTGGAGCAGGTCAAGTTACTGTGGACCAGATCCCACATGGCTAGCAGCTCCGCTGGGAGGAGTTTATGAACCACCATCATGCTCTGGTAGAAGCAGGGCTCCTTGTTGAGCTTGCTGTTCTTGTTCTTGACAATGCCGAAGGTCTTGAAGCCAGCGTGGGCCACAGGCACCACCTTGAGCACCTCCAGGCACATGCCCAGGAACACATCATCGATGGGGTACAGCTCCAAAGTCTCCGAGACCCGGTGCAGCTTCTTGGCCAACGGGCCGTCCATCACGAAGCCTCCTCCGCCGGCATAAGGCGGGTAGGTGTTCTTGCTGTACAAGGCATTGGGGATGTAGTACTTGTTCTCCTTCTTGCGGATGGGCCGGGCCTTGAGGAGGACGTCCCCCACAAAGAGGTCGCTACCTTCCTTCTGGTCCTGAAGGAACTCCAGGATGTTGTCAGGGCTGGCAAAGACGTCATCGTCCCCCTTGAAGATGAACTGGACTCGATCGCAGTAGATGTTGAACCATTTGAGGAAGTGGACCTCCTTGAGGGTGAGGTTGAAGAAGCTGTCCAAGAAGTCCCACTGCAGGATGTCCTTGTAGATGTAGTTCTCATACTCCAGAAGCTTCTGGTAGTTGGCCCGCTCTTCTTCCTTGGAGGCCACGCCGAGCAGGAAGAGCGTCCGCACCTTCTGGCCGCCTACCTCTTTCTCACGGCCCCACGTCCGGCGGATGGCTTCCCGGCGGTCATGCTGTGTGATGATGGACTTGACCACGATCAAGAGGTGGATGTCCCCGTCACACTTCTCCGGGTGGTTGATGAGCATCGGGAAGTAGCGACAGTGGCGGTAGAGCAGGAACTGGCGGAAGTTGGGCTCCAGGCCCTTGAACCAGTCATCCTTGGTGAAGTTCAGGTTGGCCGAGCAGTTGATGGTGGTGACGTCCCACGCCGTCACCTGCTTCTCCGTTGGTGCCGTCTCCTCGGCCGCGGGGCTCTCCTTCTTCCAGAAATTGTTGGAAGCTGAGATGACTCCATCCCTCTTCTGGGTTTTGAGCGGCTCCTGAGGCGTCAGCTCTTTGGCCGGTGGCTGTTGGCCTTGGAAGAGCTGCGTGGGAGCCATGCCACGCTGCAGCACCGTCACGGCCACCACCAGCGCAAAGGAAAGGAGGACGCTCTTGTAGACCGTTTTCTTCCTAGGAAAGGAGGAGAAAGATACATCATGAATGTTCATGAATGTTGAAGATGTTAGCAATTTATAATGTAGATTTCAAAATATGTATGTATATTTAAAATTCAGTAGCTATGTGCCAAGGGTAATGTATTCCTGTGTGGAAAGAGTTAACTGAACCATAGAGGGATTGGCATTCCTATAGAGGTCATAAATAAGTGTAAAATAAATAAATAAATAAATAAAGTGCAAATGGACGCAGCCTCATACGCCACACGTCACTCTGGAATGCAAGAGGTGTGGACTAGTGCTGATAACAGCAGTTCGTGTGTTCGCTATGTTATGGTACGGAGAAGTTTTACGATGTGCTGAGTGTTAAGTAGCTTCTAATGTCTATAGCTGTAAAATAAAGTAGTTTATAGCCTAAACTACTTTGATTGATCGTGTTCCTGCCTTGCTGTGCAGCCGATGCCTCTGACAATGAATGGGCAAAATGTAGTCTCTAAGGTGTACGAGGCCCATGCAGATCACGTTTGTGACCAACTGAAGATCATCTCAAAGTCCCTCAAACAGATAGAGAGAAATCTAGATCAGAGTCCCAAAACTGTCTATCTCCCTCTCCGTCCGTCCGTCCATCCATCCATCTATCTTTGGAGAGCACAGGGAAGGTTAACACCCCTGTGGTGTGCTTTCTGTGCCCCTGTTTGGAATATTTCCCTTCACTTTCTGTCCTTATGACAATTGGATTTTGCAAAATGTGGCTTGTTGTGGAATCAAGGATGGGAGAGAAAGCTTCAGAGGAGACACATTTTCCCCATGATAACGACTCTTCCAGGAGCATATTTCTCTTCCGAGGGGTACATTTCTCTCACTTGCTGTTGTCTCACCCCGTTCTTAACTAGGAGTTGTTTGTAAGTTGGATGTTTGTAACTTGGGGACTGCCTGTAATGCAAAACTATCACCATCCCTCCTCCACAAACACGCTAGAGCCCGTTGCTACCTCGATACACCTTCAGTTTGCCTCTTCAGGACTCTCAAAGGGCCATAAAGTATAGTAGAGGATAATATTTGGGTTTCTTGGTGTAGGGGCCGCCCTACAAAAGGAGGTTTTGTTGAGGGTTGGCTCATGGTGCACTTGCTGAACCAGCAGCCAATGCAAATATTCCATGCACTCCATATAGAATCCAAACACTCCATGCAATTGAGCCACTGTGGTGCCATATTAAAATGGAGTAACATCTTTGGCTTGGATTGGATTTGTTTTGGGGTCATTCCATTCCCTGTAGCACTGACAAATCATTCTCTCTAAGCCTCTAGATTAGGCATGGGCAAACTTTGGTGCCTCCAGGTGTTTTGGACTTCAACTCTCACCATTCCTAACAGCCTACTGGTTTTAGAGATGGATGTACATCTGTTGGGAAGGCTCAGATTGTGTCTTTATTGCAGAGAGTGGGACTGAATGGTCTTTGGCGTTTCCACCAACTTATTTCTCTCCTTTCCAACCCTCTGGGGCATCCGTCGGCCCCGTTGGAATGTATTCCGTTTGCAAAGCTGAGCCGTGTCCAATTTCCTTTCCCCGAATCCCTCGCATTCCAGTCACCTGGGCCGCCTTCTCTGCCTTCGCGCAGCCGGCAAAAGGAAAGCCCCAAAGAGAGACGAAAGGGCAGTCAGGCGGGACAGGGTCTTCCCTAAATAGAAGGCGCCCTGTTTCGCCAGCCTTGCAAATGTCCCAACTCGGAGATCGCCAAAACACTGCTCCCTTTGCACCGAACAAGGGCTCAGTGTGGAGTCGGATCAGGAGTGCGCTTGCAAGTTTAGTTTGCATGGACAAACCTGGGCCATTCAGGTGTTTTGGACTTCAACTCCCACCATTCCTAACAGCCTCAGGCCCTTTCCTTTTCCCTCTCAGCCGCTTAAGCGGCTGAGAGGGAAAAGGAAGGGGCTTGAGGCTGTTAGGAATGGTGGGAGTTGAAGTCCAAAACACCTGAATGGCCCAGGTTTGTCTGTGCCTGATACACACACACATAAATGGGAGATACACTCGTCATTGGAAGGAAGAAGACTGTTGGTTTACTATATATGCCATGTTCGTATTGATTGTGCATGCATTGTTTATTGTTTACTCATAGATCTGTTCACTGTGTAATTAATAAAAAGTTTGCAGCTCGATTCCCTGAGGTTGCAGAAACGGCGGCTGCGCATCAACGGCCGCATTATGCAGCGGCCAGTCGGTTTGCACAATGTCCGCATTCAGCAGAAAGGGGATCTACAGCTTGTCCCATTATAATTGCACGGGCTTAGCTTTACCCAACGCCAGCACGAGGCGGGATTACGGCCTGACAAACGGAGAAGGGTTGCAATGGGTTCGAATGGCAGGAGGAGAGATGCCACCTAAACATGACGAAGAACTGGGTTGTTGTAGGTTTTTTCGGGCTATATGGCCATGTTCTAGAGGCATTCTCTCCTGACGTTTCGACTGCATCTATGGCAAGCATCCTCAGAGGTAGTGAGGTCTGTTGGAACTAGGAAAATTGGGTTTATATATCTGTGGAATGACCAGGGTGGGACAAAGGACTCTTGTCTGCTGGAGCTAGGTGTGAATGTTTCAACTGACCACCTTGATTAGCATTTGATGCTAATTTGATGGCCTGGCAATCTTTTCTTGAGAGGTGATTAGATGTCCATAGATAGATAAACCCGTTTTCCTAGTTCCAACACACCTCACTACCTCTGAGGATGCTTGCCATAGATGCAGGCAAAACGTCAGGAGAGAATGCCTCTAGAACATGGCCATATAGCCCCCCAAAAAAATCTACAGCAACCCAGTGATTCCGGCCATGAAAGCCTTTGACAATACATGACGAAGAACGTCCAGGCTTTTCGACAGCGTAGGTTTTGGAGCAGACTATTGTCTGAGGATGACCTGGGAAGGAATCCCACTGGAAGATTGCAGCGCACCCAAATATTTGGAGAGTTATCCTGGACCGTGCTCTGGCCTACAAGAAGCACTGCTTGACTATCAAGCAAAAAGTGGGTGCTAGAGATAACATTATATGAAAGCTGACTGGCACAACCTGGGGATCACAACCAGACACAGTGAAGACATCTGCCGTTGCGCTTGGATACTCTGCTGCTGAGTATGCATACCCAGTGTGGAACACATCTCACCATGCTAAAACAGTGGATGTGGCTCTTAATGAGACATGCCGCATTATCATGGGGTGTCTGCGCCCTACACCACTGGAGAAATTACACTGCTTAGCCGGTATTGCACCACCTGACATCCGCCGGGAAGGAGCAGCCAATAGTGAAAGGACCAAGGCAGAGACATCTCCAGCTCATCCCTTGTTTGGGTATCAGCCAGCACGTCAACGACTTAAATCAGAAATAGTTTTCTAAGATCTACAGAGACACTTGCTGGAACACCTCAGCAAGCGAGAGTCCAAAAGTGGCAGGCTCAAACCCAGAACCTCAACCAATGGCTGATACCAAATGAGAGACTCCCCCCTGGGCACACAGAGGACTGGGCGACTTGGAAGGCGCTGAACAGACTGCGCTCTGGCATCACGAGATGCAGATCCAACCTTAAGAAATGGGGCCACAAAGTGGTCCATGACATGCGAGTGTGAAGAAGAGCAAACCACTGACCACTTACTGCAATGCAGCCTGAGCCCTGCCACATGCACAGTGGAGGACCTTCTTACAGCAACACCAGAGGCACTCCAAATGGCCAGCTACTGGTCAAAGGAGATTTAGCATAATGCCAAGTTTACCTTTTGTTTGTGTTTTTAAATACATTATAACTGTACCCTCAATTTGCTTCTGACACGATAAATAAATAAGCAATCTGTAGTCAGGAAAGGAAACTTTGTTTCCCATCCGATGGCGGTTCCTTATTCCAAGACAAAGCTTTTTTCTTGTCCTTTGCACTGAAATGAGTTCTGGTTTGCAACTTGTGTGGGTTTTGCACAGAACAGGAGGACTGGTTTGTAAACAAAGGAAAATAATAATATTGCACAAAATAGTAGCAATTCTGTTTCTCCATCTCGGATTTGCACCAGAGCTTGCCCTAAAGGAGTTCCCCCAAAATGCCAAAATGCACATTTCCCAAATATGTCAAGCGCACTGAATAGCCCTACTACAGTTCAAAACAAAACATCAACACCTTTCTGAACAAATCTTTTTCAAGAAAGCCTTGTAATTAAGCTTTTGCCTTTGGGTCACCATGAATCAGAGATGACTTGGAAACACATCACAATAGCAATAAAGCATTTGCACAGGTTATTAGATTTGCATCCTCTGCAATTGAGCCTACAGGAAGTAGTATGTGCCTGTGGTCTCCCATCCAATTACTAACCAGGATGAACCCTGCTTAGCTTCCAAGATGAGACAGAATATGGTGACCTCAGATCTCGTGTCTATTCTTATACACCTTCAAGTCACCTATCAACTTATGGCAATCCATTAATTTTATATGGTTTTCTTAGGCAAAGGTGCTTTTGCCACTTCCATCCTCTCTGCAATTGAGCCTACAGTAAAGCAGATTGTGTCTGTGGCCTCCCATCCAATTCCTAACCAGGGTTGACCCTGCTTAGCTTCTCAGATCAAGTGGAATCTGGTCTATTTAGACTTTGGACACCACCTTGTTTACACATATGTGCCTTGAAGGAATAGTTAGAGGTTCCTTCCTCTGAAATAGAGCCTATGGAACCTGGGATTTTCTTGCGGTCTCCCATCCACTTACTAACCAGAGGTGACCCTGCTTAGCGTATCAGATCAAGTGGAATCTGGTCTATTTAGCTCTTGGACACCACCTTGTCTATGCATATGTGACTTCAAGGAGTATTCAGAGGTTCCTTCCTCTGAAATAGAGCCTATGGAACCTGGGATTTGCTTGCAGTCTCCCATCCAATTACTAACCAGGGCCGCCCCTGCTTAGCTTCTCAGATTAAGTGGAATCTGGTATATTTCAACTTTGGACACCACCTTGCCTATGCATATGTGCCTTCAAGTATTTTGAGGTTC